GGCCAGGTCCTCGAGGCCATGCCGGATCGCGGCCAGCTTGACAAATTCGAGGAGATCGTTTCACAGTCTGAGGTATAGGGCTCCCGTGTGTTTCTTCAGCGGTCTGATCACGCCACACATAGATACGCGGTGTCCGACGCGACGCAAGCATCATCACCGAGCATGCAGTAAATCAAACGTCTGGCGTCATCGACGCCTATCAGCACCTGGCGCCAGTCATCGACACGGACGCATATATGAATTGGCTACGTTTCGTATTGGTCTGCAAGGGTGCAAAATGGCCACACGGAGAATCAGTGGCGATCTTCTCGACCAGGAGAACAGCTTCTACATGAATACGGGGCAGACGTCATCGTTAATGCCACGGGTATTGCTGGCCTCGAGCTTGCAGGGGCCCATCGGTGTATCCCCTCCGTGGCGCGTTGATACGCGTAGTCAACGACGGAACGAGATTTCCCAAGGTCACCGAGGCCCTGGCTGTCACTCATGACGATACGCGCGGGGAAGACGAGGACATCGTGTTCATCGTTCCACGGAACGACGATACGCTTATCTTGGGTGGTAAGCCAGCCCCCCGTCTCCTCTGCTATTTCGAGAACGGATCGCTGACCTGCGTTTCCAGGACTTGCGCAGCCCAATGAATACGCGCTTGACCTTGCGTTGGACAGTCCCGAAGTCGTGCGCATGAGACAGCGCTGTAACAACTTTGTTCCGGGGTTGGAATATGCAGAGTACGATGCGGATGCGCCGCTCGTGCAAGGTCTGCGGCCCTTTAGAGGCTCAAACGTTCGCGTGGAACGAGAGCTCCGCCGCAAGGCGGATGGCTCTGTGAGCCGCATCGTGCACTCTTACGGACAGGGCGGGGCCGGATTTTCGCTCTCTTTTGGATGTGCAAATGATGTGCGTGTTTAATGTATATTAATCAAGTTACCGGGGCTGATCCAACTTTTTTAGGTTCTTGAGTTGATCGAAGAACTCGAGCGTGAGGTTGTTCCATCACCGATGTCTCGGCGGAGAGTATGTCGACGGAAAGATTTAGCTGAGGTGGATATGTCTGCGTGTGCGAGCCTATGAGACGAAGATTGACTTATTCTTATTTTCATATTTATTGCTTACTCTCTGCTATCAATTTAATATCTCTTAATCGATGCCGTGGAGGACAACCCTCCCCCGGAGGTCAGGAGCGCCATCGGATTGAGGACAACATGTGCGGGACCATAGTAGTGAAAGAAAAGTATAAGTGGCGCGCCATGACATGAATAAATGACCGCCGAGGATAAGCCTCCGTCGGGTCGAAATTCAGGTTTCCTAGCAAGTGTCTGTAGGTCAGCTGTATGTATTGCCTGAATAGGACCATAGTGAAAGGAAGGTACTTGTCCCATGACATTCAGTTGTGATCCTCTGAATCCCCTTACATTGATCGTTGGAACTCCAATTCATAAGGCGACGGCGTTGAAGTCAACCTTCATGTAGTGCTACAGTCGATTCCGACAAAGACCGATGTCTTCAAATTTCGCGCGCCCTGAAGTGCGATCTAACGAGTAGTGTAAGCATGCCTCGCGAGTTCGTATACCAAGATGTGGTGCATGTGATTTTGGAGGATACAAGCATGGAAGAGAAGGCGCAGTGGGCAGCCGGAGGCCTGAGGTGGAACAGGCCCCGAGAAGGACGGCACCGCAATGATGAAAAGAGTTGAGGTGGGGTTACGGAGTGTGCGGCGTTTGAGAAATTGAATCAGGATGATTTGGGGCGAAAGACGATGATATGATAGCTCGTATTGCGAAAAATGGTTGGTCGTACCTTGGAGATGACTGGTATTCATTAGAAGAGTTGTTACAAAATTGTCCTTTCGTTGTTGTAGGGAAATAACGGTCCATAAAGCAATACGACTTGAATCCTGATGTTGGTAGGATCAAACGCGGCTGCCCTCCATTTAATATCCGAGCAGGCTTTATCGCAGGTGAGAAATCATTTCAAAGGTTGAGTAGCACGATGCGTACAATCAACCCGATCCATTCGTCTTGTCAGCTGCGACGGTCTGGTCTTGCGGTTCAAGGGTAGCAAGAAGTGTATCCAAATTCCCAGCAAACTGTCCAGCTTGTGCTCCATACCCTGCGCAACACCGTCCGCTGACTCGAGGCGGCTGAGGAGGGCGGCGACATTGGCCTCGTCGGTCTCATCCAAATTATCCTGCGATAACACGTCGTCAAAAGCGCGAGGTCGGCGTCGAGCGCCGAGCCGGGTTTCTCGTTGGCCATGATAGGACGGAACTGACACTTGGATCGGGAATCGGGCCGTATCACAACGGTCCCAAATATCTCGGCATTTCCCATGCATGGGTTCCCTCCGACCACTACTTGCCTCTCTCTTCGACTCCCTGCCACCGCCCCCCGTAGCCGAGGCTGATATCAAAAAACATGTCGAGAACGCGCTAGAACAGGCGAATAAGGTGAAGTTGCCAGTAGAAGTGAAGAAGAGTCAATGGGAGAACCTGTTAAGGGCCGAAGTGTTCAAATTGGCGGTATGATCTGTGTTCCTGTCAGTATGAATGCGTTAATTGGACTTGGGATCAGAAAACTGAAGGACAAGCGCTCAAGGACGAGCATACGACCTACTACGATGATCTACAAACGCGGCTGGATGTCGCGCTTGAATTCACTACCTGGGTTGGTGGCCAACTTGTATTGTACGCGTCTGTTAACCGTTGTACAGATGCCTGTGAACAGTCGTTCATCTTCTTACTACTTCAGGATCTACTCGACACGCAGACCATTGCATCTTGCTCCCACATATTCTCCTGGCTTGAGCTGCGCGCGCCACGGCTAACAGCTGGGATGGTTCCTCAGAAGGGTAAGGCGCTCGTGCTTCTGCGCGCGCTTAATGACCTCCTACGCCGTCTCTCCAAAATGGGCTCGAATGCCATGTTCTGCGGACGCATTCTCACATTTCTCAGCGGCGTGTTTGCTCTTGGTGAACGGAGTGGTGTCAATTTACGCGGAGAGTATGGTCCAATATGGGAAGGCGTACAGACCGCTTTCAAGAAGGAAGAAAAAGTACCCGAGGAAGATAAGACAAAAGACGCGGCGAAACAAGAGGACAAGATGGACGTCGATGAAAAGCCCCCTGCACAGGAGAAGCCTGAAGACGATTTCTACAATGTATTCTGGTCCCTTCAGCTCCCCTTCTCCAGGCCGCCTTTTCGCGAATGCCGGAACGTTCTCTTCGTTCCAAGAGGCGGTTAACAGGGTTCTTCCCGTTATTAAAGAGCACACGACCAAGGAGCGCGTCATGATGGGCAGTCGTTCGGGTCCCAATAGTCTTAAAAGGAAGCGCGAGCAGTCCGAGGGCGAGGAACCCATCTCTGTTGGAGAGTACTTCTTTGCCAAATTCCTCACCAGTCCTGATTTGCTCGACTTGGAGCTCAAGGATACTCATTTCCGCCGCCAATTCCTCTTCCAGCTTATAATCCTTCTCAATCATCTCCTCACGTTCACCAACGCTGCCAAAGATGCTTGGCAAACTCCCAAGAACCGTTCTTTGAGCATGGAGTTCACGCTCGAGCCCGCGAACGTGCCATGGGTGCAGGAGACGATAACGAAGGCCATGGACGAGCTTAAACAAACTGCCCCTAACGGACGCGTGTTCGCGGAGACTGTTAGCGTGATAATGGAACGGGAGAAGAATTGGATCAAGTGGAAAAACGATACTTGCACGCCTGCATTTGATAAGGAGCCGTGGTCTATTGAGGTGGATGGGCAGAAAGTGGGTCTACAGGAGGCGACGAAAGAGTTGCGAGAGAAGTTGCGAGAGCCGCTGCCGCCGTGGAAACACGCCTATGGGAGCGAAGATCTCACCAATGTCTGGGAGATGGGATATCGCGATTTGGGAGATCTGGAGAGTTATTCGTGAGTTCCCTTTGCTTCCTTTTTGTCGATCGTCGTTTGACGGTCTTCTAGAGGACCGGACGACGTCAAGACCTACTGGAGGCTCATCCAGAAGGATAATGCCGCGATAGAGGCTCGGAAGAAGCAGCTGACGCGGGCGGCAGAGCAACGCGCGAAAGCACTTGCTGACAAGGTGGCCAAGGAGAAAGCGGCCAAGGCGCCTGCAGAGGAAGCCAAAGTCGACCAGGACGTGAAGATGGCTTCTCCCGAGGACGCACCCCCGCCGCCTCCTCCTGCACCGCCCGTTATTCCAAAAGTAGCCTTCTCGGCCGATGCGCAGATTCAGGAGAGCGAAGAGTCGAAGCAGCGTTTCTCGTGGCTGGCGCTGCGTGCGGTGCGCGATCAGCATCTTGCGCTGTTTAGCAAGATTGGGACGGGGGATGTGGAGTTGCTGATCAAGGGCATTGAGGCGCCGCAGAAAGAGAGTGGCTCGGCGAGTCCGGTGGTTAGGATGGATGGCGAGGTGAAGGAGAAGGAGAAGGAGAGGGAGAGTGTACAAAAGGTGGAGGAGGATACGAAGATGGAGGTGTAGTTTTGTGTGGGGCGTGGTCCCTGAGCCCATGTAAGACTATCAATCGACTTTGCTTCCGTGACGAAAACATGTACGCTCTTGCGCTACCTGTCCGGCTACGTAAATGGGGCAAGCCTCAGAGTGTTGCCCAAAGAAACGCACATGCGGCTAGGGAATGGCTCCTCCCGAGGGCGTTCTCGGCCTATGCAGATTCAGTGCAGCAAAGATGGCTGACGCTGCGCGCTTTCCCCATTTAGCATCTTGCGCTGTTCAAGGACATCAGGACTGGTGATGTAATTCTATTGATGTGTAGAAAGTACACGGCATCAATATCCTTGAGTGACGTTTACGGGACATTTGACTGTCAGGTTCTAAGCCTGCTACAGAACGATTACATGACGTTCAGTAATCAGATTAATCAACCCGTGCCCGTATCCAAACCTTTCAATTCTTGATATCTATCGTGACTCGATTTGGTTGATGAATCATTATCGAGCAAGCCAAGAGCAAGCTCTGATATACTTTACGATGCTACATTCAGGGTCGTCGGTATCGATTAGGGGTTAAATCACCTCGTTGTGGTCGAATTCCGAGGAGCCACTGGTTCGATTCCAGTTACCGACATCGCAGTGGTGCATTGTTTTTGTTTTTTGTTTTCTTACAGGCATTGAAATGGCACCCGGACTGCTCCGGGGGCTATTAACGCCGTTTGTGATTAGTTTCAATACCGACACGTGATGTGGCGCAGTCGCGTCGCTTTTGTCCCGCCACTCTCAACGAACCATCAGGGTTTCGAATTCGATAACATTGCTCATGAAATATCTCTGGATTCTCTCTTTTTCTACCCTCTACCATGCAGTCGCAAATTGGAGTTCTTCTACTTTTCAGCGACAGGGTCAACAAGGCATGTACAGAAATCTGGTCCTCTCAATGCCTTGCCTTTTTGAAACTAAGATTAAGACCAACAAATTGGACTGACAGAAAACTCCTATATACCACAGTCCGGTCCGTCCATCTGACCTTGTCCAGATGGCACATGCCTACACGGATGAGACTCGAAGCCGTCTGAGGTTTTGAAGCTTGAAATGTCTTGACCCATGAATTGTTAACAATGCGTTTTACCACCATCCGAGTCGTGAGTTGTACAGTCCGATCAAGGCTGGCAAAAGAGAATATGAATTTTGTGAAGCAATAGTAAGCTATGCGCTTTTCGGTAGGTCACAAACAGTAAGCCAATGAGAACCCAGGCCTGCAATGAATCATGGTCAGAAGAGTTACAAGCCTGAACGCGTATATTCAGATCTCACCATGCAGGAACAGGCGTTCGCGACGACTGTCATAGGCGACGGTCGTGATGAACGATAATAGTTGGCCATCGTCTTGAAGCACCTAGAATGAATAAAATACTTCACTCGGAAACGGACTGCAGTATGGTTCACATTTTCCACGTTGTATTTCTGCCCGTTGAATGAATCGGGCCCAGTATTTACGCCCAATTTCCAAGAAACGTGAGGACAAGGATTTGACATGTTCCTCATCGTGTTTCCTGCTTCTGCCGCTTTGGGTATTCCTACGGACAGCGTCGTCAATAATGCGCTACAACATGCTTCGATCGAGGATATTACCAGCGGCCCAAACGAATCCGTCCTCGTCAATCGTCAAATTGTCGTTTAAAGTGTCTGGTAGTCAGTCATGAATCACCACCGTATACATGGAAGTACTAAGGCCTCATACCTGTTGGTATAACGTCTACAATGCTGAGTGTGTTGTCGGCTTGGCGCTCCATGACTTTAACGCCGCCCGCCAATGCACACCCAACATAGATAGTACCATTCGGAGCTTGTGTTATTCCATTGGGATTAAGAAGGTTGCCAATGGCGATCTTGCAACCCTCATCGACGTGACAATAGCCAACACTGGACGTGGGGCGAATCATCTGTCCAATGTCGGCCAACTAGAAAAAGTCATCATCCATCCGCACATGAACAAAAAATCAACATACGAGCGTTCCGGCCTTCAGAGTCGCCTTGCCGTCATTTGTAAAATAGAAGGACTTGCCATCAGACGCCCCCACCAGGTCATTCGGTGTTTGGACGACGGGTCCTTCGATCGTGTGAAGATGAGTCGCGATGGTGCTGCCGACGACGGTTTTGAAGATCTCTACACAAGAGTCGTATCCAACGACACCGACATCCTGATCTATGGGCACTCTATGATGAATGAGATAGATGAAGGCTTCGTTCTCGTTGAATTTCGAAGGGACAACATCCATGCCATGGAAGGCGATCGTGCGGGAGGTGTCAAAGTGCGGTAAGGTGATATGTTTGACGGAGTATTTGTTCTCGGGGTCGTATAAGGCGAGGTAGTTGGCGCCTTCTACGGGTATTGTAAAGTCCTTCGAAGGATTCATCCAGCGAGACCTCTGATCTATGGTAGCGCACGCCATGTATAGGAGACCTGTGCCTTGGTGCACTACAACCTCTGTAATGACGCGAAAGATAAGCTTTAACACGACAAGACAAGTATATGAACTGACTTTCGCATCCTGTAACCTCTGGTAACGTGAGACAGTGCTCTGGACGGTTCTCTGTCTCGACAACACGAAAGAATCCTAGAGTCTCGACTATAGGCGCAATCTGAAATTGGAAGAAGATCGCTAGTAATGCGACGGAGAGGATAGATGGAACGAGTATGTCGGGCATGTTGATGGTGATAGACAAGATCGACTGTCTGAAGGAGAGCCCGGTAATGGACGAGATGACTTGCAGCGGTTGAGTATCACGAGGGCCATTCATACCCAATGACACACTTCTGTTTGATGTCTCTACGCGATGCGTGAGAACACACCAAACCAGGGAAAGCAGGCGCGCTTTACCGTGTGTGCCCGGCGTCATAGGACGATGACTGAGAGAATATGACTTGAAACCGATGAACGCCTTGTCCGCTGCTAGTGGGATAGCCCGCGTTTCTCTTACGATCCAAGAGACCTGTAGAGACTTCGCTTAGAGGACGTGACGACTATTAAGAACTCTGAAATAGCGGATAGAGGGCGGACGGGCGTGGAGGACGGAAGCGAACGTACTGACAAGGCACTGAACAGTAGCGGCGTTGCCTAGACCCGTAGTACGTGGCACCAAGCAAGTTCGAACTCCTGTGCTGAGATCAGAATTTGAGTCGGGAGCGTAGTATGCAAAAGGCAGGCCTGGTGGTGTTTAAAGAGTGTTGACAATGACAAGCTCTACAATAAGATACGGAGTGAGAAGAAGCTTCGATTTTAATCGTAGATCTCAACGCACACTCGAATTGGAACTCCATAAATATTCTGCGCGTCCCACCCAGCTCCTACGGTGCTCTATCACTTCATACAATCAGCATCAGGGATCTTCGTTACGACGCGTTACCGACGAAGGTGAGATGGGGGCGGAACTGAGAAAACTGGCGGAGAACCACCTTCGTTAAAAAGGTAATTCGACTCGGCCACGTAGTCAGATTTCCGCCTGGGTCGGGATCAAAACCTTAGCACGTAGTGGGAAGGGGGTGAATCGCTGTATTCCAATAAAGCCTCTTGGATTCTAAATCGACTTCAAAAGTTGTACGAACTGCCGGCTCTGCTCGACCCAAACAGAAGAGGAAAGCGCGAATAAAAAATTCAGAGCACTAAGACATCCAAGTCGCTTTAGGCACTGCTTTGGCACAAACCGACCGTGGATACTGGGCCAGCTGCAATTTGACTTGAGTGCACTGAAGAAGCAGGAGAAATTTTTGATGAAGCCTTATGTAGGCACCACGTGGATGCCGGTCGTTGCCGGGACCAGCTCAGGAGATGGCCGCCACATTCCACCCACCAAAGAATCTGGACCGCTCCTTATCTGGTGTCCCGGTCGTCTTCTTCGATCTCAACAACACGGTTGCTTGGTTTCACAGCATGCGCCGCGGCCGTGGTTTTCTTTACGCTACCGCCTAAGGCGCGAGTTACTGTGAGCTGCATTTCGCTTTGTACTGCCGGCATTAAACTTGCATAGTGGGCGAATCATGCTGGACATCTTTTGACACTTATATTAGATCCAGGTTGCATCCAAGTAGTCTCGTCAGTGGCGGTACTTCGAAAGCCTCAGGAATGGAGGACTAAGACATCCATCGATACGCTTCTATCAGGGAAGTTATCATGCAATATCGCTATGGTCTCGATTCGCAAGACCGTGCACTAGCCCAGACAGGCGGATGGATTTTCTCCAGTCACTCCGCGGTCCTAGAGAGCAAATTTCTGTATTGTATCTTCTGCCTATGTTGTTTACTCATTTTTTCGACGTTTTCAACGCTGCGTCAATTAATTCAGTCATCCTAAGAGCGCGAACGTCAGGCATGCCTCTAGGTGCAATCAATCCTGAGAACGTACCGAATAACCGCTTCCTCCTCGTTCTTCCTGCCAATGCACTGGAGGGAGATAGGAGCGTCCCGATACATCTCCGGCTCGTCTGCGGAACAGAGTCAGCAGTATAGATGGACACAGAATTAGCTACGCTTACATAGCTCATAAATCATCTTATCAGCCGATGAACGGAATTCATGCGCTGGCAGCTTCACGTCAATAGCGGGATCGCACGCCGTGACCGGGAAAACACTGGTAGTGTAATCACAAAGATTGGACAGTGTCGTATAATGAATATACCTCCATGGCGTGTTAGGTCTACCGGTTTGTTCACGAAGAATGCAAAGACCGGAAAGGAACTTACTGGCTCTTCCCATGAGGCTGCGGCGCGTTCGCACTGATAGGGCATATAATAGCGTCCACTGGACGCCCTGTCCCGGTAGAGGAAGCGGTAGCAGTCCAGTGGTCGAGATGCTTCTTGATCCAAATTGTTTTGGCACGACATACTTGCCAGTACTCGTAGGTGCTAAGGTGTTTGGCGTCTTTATCGAGAACCCATCCCATTCGGGGTTCTCCAGAAAGCGCACAAGCCAAATCAATATCATGCTGTCAGCGAGAGTCAGAACTCTGACGAACGAGGGCTAGACATAACGTACGCCCCCGTCAGCGTTGTATATATCGCTGACGATTTGCCAACCCCCGGCACTGTCATATGGAACCCAGTCAATAACTAGACAGGTGCTAGGTCAGGTTGTGATCGAGCAACAGGCATTCGTAGTGGATACCTGTATGTCCAGCTGCTTCCAGAGCCGCTTTAGTTTGTTCAAGCGCGCGCTTATACGGAGGCATCGGCTTGCAAACACCATCGTCCCACATAATGGCGAAACACAATTTGCCGTGCTCGCCACCATGGTCGGCTAATTTGTACGAGTCTTCATTCCATGGAAGACGTAAGGCGAGTGGGTCGTAAAGCCAAGGTTTCGCATCAGCCATGGCCTTGATGAAAATCTTGAGACCGTTTATCGAGCTACTCAGAGGTCCGAGTACACTGGGAATCCCCTCTTGACCTAATCGATGTTAGTGTACAAACTTAGGGCACGTAAGGAAGCCTCACCTTCCATCGAGTTGGTTGACCCACAGTAAGGCACGCGATTGTACGATGGTCGCAAGGCATAAAGACCTTGGAATGCGGCGGGTATACGAATAGAACCACCCAAGTCAGATCCGACTCCAAGAGGGCTACCTTTCATGCCAA